TCCAGGGATATTTCCACGCTCCCCCTTCAGGACCCCCTTTTCCAGGGGTATTTCCACGCTCCCCCTTCAGGACCCCCTTTTCCAGGGGTATTTCCACCGAGTCTTGGAGGTCACATCATTATGGGACCCCATTGTCCGGGGGGTCCCCCACACTCTTTCCAGCCCTGGGGAGCACCAGGGAATGTGGTTCTTTCCCCCTCTCCACCATCCTTTTCCCGGTGATATCCCCACGGGACCCCCATTCCTGGCGATGTTTCCACGCTGCCCACCCGAATCCTGGAGGGGGGGATCACATCCCTGTGGGACCCCATTATCCCGTGGGTCCCCCACACTCCTCCCAGCCCTGGAGGTGGCACTTCTCGTGCCACGCTGGGCGACGTGGATGGAGCCCTTTTCCCAGGGTTCTCCAGTGGCATCCAGGACTTTCCCTTGTATATCAGATTGATATATTTATTGTAATATCTCTAATTAAAAGGCAGCACATCCCTGTGCCTGCAGAGGCCGAAGGAAAGCAACAGTTAATGCTTCCCTGGAGCAAGGAACCTCATCTGGTTTCCATTATCCAGCTTTTTCCCTTTTTTTTTTTTTCTCCAAATCTTCCATCCCAATTGATACTTCCCTGTTCCAGTCCCTGGGCTGCCTCCTTTAACATGGAGTATCCCTTTTTCTGAGTATTTTCCCATCAAAAACCCAAAGCTCTGGGCTGGAGGTGAGGAAGGTGGTGGTGGGTCTCCATTCCCTGTGCTGTTCCCAGGGGATTTACTTCCCAACTAACCCATCCTGGAGAGCTGAGCTGTTCTCCTCCTCCCCCTCCTCTCCCAGGCTTCTGGGACGACCAGTTTAGGGACTAAAAAAAGTAACTGGAAGAATGCTGGGCTCTCCAGCGACATTCCTGAGCTTTGCAGACCCCGTTGCTCACATTTTTAAGGGATGATGTTTCCTCCTGGGGCTGGGAATGGCTTGGAGCTGAACTGTCACCCCTGGGTTTTGGGGGCAGTGAGTGGCTCAGTCTCCTGGAGCCTGGGCTGGCCTCCAGTGGCTGCAGGGTGTTGGGATTGGGGATAATTGGAAGGGAAGTGGGGTTGTGGATCACTGGAAAGGGAAGGGGGTTATTGGGATTGTGGATATTTGGAAGGGAAGGGGGGGATGAGCCGTCACTTCCTCCTGCTCAGACACTGTCTGGGGTCTGTGCTCTGTCTGGTCTGGTGATTGTGTGTCCAGGAACACCCGGAGATGGTGTTATTCCAGCTGTTGGGAAGCAGGCAGGAGCCTGCAGTCACCATCTTGTGCTTCTCGGGCTCTTTATCTGCTTCCTCTTCCTAAAAATCATGGCACTCGTGGGCCAACACACCCCACCCAACCTGCTGCCCAGGGCTTCACCTCTCCTGGGGCTCCTGGCTGGGAGAGCTGACCCACTTCCCATAAAACCCTGGGATTGGCCTGGTGCTGCAGTGCCTGCCTCCCTGCTTTTCCTGCACCTGGAGCAAAGTCCTAAGGGCAGCCAGGGCGTGTTTGCAGAAGTTGTGCTGATTACAAGGGGCTGCTGGGAGGGGAAACGTGTCTGTGGTGCCTCTGCTGTGCCGCTGGGCTTGCTCTGAAACCCGGAAAGCCCATTTCCCTCCTGGGATCCGCGGAAAACTCGCTGCTCTGTGGGGCTGCCAGGGGGAGCAGAACCCACCTGCCCACAGCCCTGGGGCTGCCCCTCGGCTCTCAGCCCGTCCTGGGAGGGTTTGGGGACGTGCTGCTGTCCCTGCCCCCACGGGAAGGTGCTGGGGAAGGTGCTGGGTGATGTCTCGGCTTCCGCAGGGGAAGTGACACCCCAGAGCTGTCCTGGGGCTGTGGCTGCTGAGCCCAAGGAGGGCTGAGGAGCTGCTCTGAGAAGGGACGAGTCACCCTGAGCTCTGCAGGGCCTGAAACCCCAACCAGGTTGATCTGCAGCCCAGGGGGTCCCTCCTTGTGTTGTCCCCAAACCCTGGAGCCTCCAGTGGTGCCTGTTCTGGGTGTGCAGTGATGCCTTGGTTTGCTCTGACCCAGGGGAGCTGGGGCTGCCCCATCCCTGGAGGTGTCCAAGGCCAGGTTGGATGGGGCTTGGAGCAACCTGGGCTAGTGGGAGGTGTCCCTGGGGGTGGAACTGGATTGTGTCCAAGGTCCCTTCCCACCCAAACCATCCCCTGGTTCTAGAAATAGATCCCAACACTGTGGCCCTGAGCTCTGTCCCCAGACCTGCTCTTCTGGGAGGAGGGAAGCTGCCACTCCCAGAGGAGCCTTCCAGGGTGTGCTTCCCATCCAGCCCAGCCTGGTGGACCTCCAGAGCTGTACCTGGAATTGCCTCCAGGCCTTCAGAGCACTTCAGGCTGGGAATTGGAAAGGAATTGGAAAGCACAGGCGTTAATGCTCCTCTGAAAACCCACTTGAAGCCTGTCCTCTTTCTCTGCAGCCGTGCTGGAGTGTTCCAGGAAGCCTAAATAACTCCTGTTCCCCTGTGTCCAGCCGTGTTCCAGCCCTCCTTTTAGTGCTGCCTTAGAGTCTGTGGGTCTGCCATCAAATCCACCCAGTGTGAGGCAGAGTTTGAGGGCAGCAAAGGTTTAAGGTTTAAGGGTAGAGCAGATGGGCAGAGCCCCAGGACAGGAACACCACTGCTGAGCAATTCCTAATGGGAACTGAGGCAGGAATATCCTGGAATTGCTTGGCTGGGGGTAGACCCTGCCTGGGAGAGTCATTCTGCCACGGTCAGGGGGCAGCTGGCTGTGCCAGATCCTCCCTGGCTCCGTGGGAGCTGGGGGATTCCTGAAGGAAAAGGCTCTGGGATCACGTTGGCTGTCAGCTCATCCCTGTGGATTGACAGTGTTTTGTGCACAGCTATTGCTGGGAAGGGTTAATTACCCCCAGCAGAAAGGCTTTGACCCCCAACAACCCCAAAGAACTCGGGATTCGGCTGTTCTGTCTGTCCCTAAAGAGTTCCAAAGCTTGGGATGGGGAGGGAAAGTCACCCTGGCCAGGCTGTTTGGGAAGGGGGTGTGTGGAGCAAAGCCCCTCTGGCTGTGGGTGCTGGAGGAACTCGTGTAACCAGAGGGAAGGAACAAATATGTTGCTCAGAGCAACTGAAAGGAGGAAAATTGTCCTCCTGGGCTGAGTCACGTCTCCAGAGCCTGGCAGTGTTTGTGCTCGGGGTGTGGTGACACCAGGGCTTGGCTCCCTGCAGGAGCAGGGCTTTGGGGTGGGGAAATGACTTCTCAAACGTCTGAGGGTGGAAAAATCACAGCTAGAACCCCCAGCTGGGTGCCCTGGGTTTGCTTTTTGAGTGCTCAGCGTGGGCCTGGCTCCCAGGTCTCCCTGTCATCTAATTGGTGGTTTGAGCTCCTAATTTGGGGATTTTTTTTGGCTGATTTTTTTTCCCCCCTGACTTTGCAGGGTTTGGGTGCTGGAGGAGGGAGGGCAGCTCTGGGGCAGGAGTGATTTTTCCCTGTGTGAGTAAAGGTGTTGCTTTGGGCTGTGCATTCCCCGTTTCCCTGCTCCAGCTCAGCCCTTGCCTGTGCAGGAGCTTCCCTCCCTGGGCTGGGCCCTGGGAATTTTTGACTCCAGACCCCTCAAATCCTGATGGAAATGCAGAGTCTGGGCACTGGGTGACTGGCAGGACACTGACCTTGGTCTGTGTGGGGCTGAGCAGCCTCAGAATGACAAAATCAGAACCATTTTGGTTGGAAGGACCTCTAAGGTCGACCTTTAATTCCTTGGGAGCAGCTCTGAGCTGTTCTGATCGGGTTCCTTCCAGCCTGGGAACCCACTGGGGCCAACTCAGCACCAAGTGGAAATCATTTATTTAGGAGCAGCCCTAAAAACCACCTTCAAACAGCCCTTTAGGGTTTACTGGGGGGTCTCAGCCCGTGATGTTGGGCCGTGGTCTGAATTCTGCCTTCAGCCTTGGATCTCTGTGAGCTCCCTGTGCCTGCTTCCCACGAGAACCTTTTCCTCCCTGCCCGTGTCTCCCTGGCTGGTGCAGCCTCACCTGACCTGCTCTTCTGGCTGGCACCTGGCAAAGCTCAGCAGAAAAACCCTAAAGCAGCAACTCTGAAGCCTCCAAACCGGGGCTGTTGCCTCTGGTGGAGCTGGAGCTTCCCCCATCCCGTGTTTGGCCGAGGTGGAAGCTCGGATAGGATGCACTGGGAGGCTCAGGGAGGTTCATTTTACCCTCAGTCAGTCAGGATATCTCCTGTCCTCCAGATTTTTCGGGAGTCAGGGGTGGCACTGCTGATACCCCGGGAGCTGCTGGGTTGGAATTTTGTGATTCCAGCGGGACCTGGGCCTGCCTGGGGGGGTCACTGGTGTTAATGGGGGGGTCACTGGTGTTAATGGTTGTCCTGTCTGTGTTTCAGTTCTGGCACAAAGCATGTTTCCACTGCGAGACCTGCAAGATGACCCTAAACATGAAGAACTACAAGGGCTACGAGAAGAAGCCGTATTGCAACGCGTGAGTCCCGGGGCTGGGGGGGCTGATCTGGGGTTTGCTGGACCCTCCTCCCTCTTAAACATCAGCCCCCACCCTGAAACGAGGGGTGGGGGGCACCCTGACCTGTCCTGAAACTCTTTTGGTGTTTGCTGGGAACGCAGGGAAAGTGCTGGATGAAGGGATCACACACCAGTTAATACTGATTTTAAATCAGTCACACACCAGTTAATACTGGTTTTAAATTGGGGGTCTCACACCAATTAATACTGGTTTTAAATCAAGGGTCACACACCAGTTAATACTGGTAAATCAGGGTCACACACCAGTTAATACTGGTTTTAAATCAAGGGTCATACACTAGTTAATACTGGTTTTAAATGGGGGTCACACACCAATTAATACTGGTTTTAAATGGGGGTCACACACCAATTAATACTGGTTTTAAATGGGGGTCACACACCAATTAATACTGGGTTTAAATCAGGGGATCACACACTAATTAATACTGGTACTAACCCGGGTTTTTCCAGGCCTAAATCCCAGCTGGTGGCTGCTCTCCAGGCCCAGCGTGGGTGGGCAAGAGGGGAATAAAATCCCAATCCAGGCAGGCATTTCCCTGGAGCTGATCCCAACCTGTGCCCCCTTAAAGAAGAGGGAATCAAAAGGTGATTTCTTTCCCCCCCTCGGGTGTCTGGGAGGAGGGGACAAGGGCCAGGGGGTCACCACGGCCTGTGCTCTGCTGGGCTGGGGGCCAGGGCAGTCACCTGGATTTACTGCTGCTCACCTGGGAGGGAAATGAATCTGGAAGGAAACAAAGCTTGAAGGCAAAATCCTTCTCTCCTGAGCAGGGAATGGAGGCAGGGCAGGGTAGAACAAGAGCAGCTGCCTGGTCCCTTTTTTGGTCCCTTTTTTGGTCCCTTTTTTGGTCCCTTTT